TCATTCGATCAAAAACACAAATTAAGATTCACCACAGAGAAAACACCATGCGGAAATTAAATGTAGAAATAATAAAGGAAAGAACACACCAAATTTATAGTGGTTCCGTCAAACCTTGACCTACATCCACTCCTTGGAGGCACCCTCCAAGTATTGCACAAAACTAAGTGTCATTTCGTTAGCCCCCACAACTAGGCGGAGAAGCCGTTACAAAATCACTTTCACCTTCTCCGGTGTGGTGGAGTCGCCGGGTCCTTTGACATTAAAGAGATCTTCTTCTTCTGTGAACTTCCCTCAAGACAAGCCTTGAATCCGATGGTATTAAGGTGCAAGCTTGTTGGAGCAATCGTATGGAATCCCCCTCCACACTCCCTTGAGTCTCCCCTCACAGGATCTTCTCCCTCTCTCAAACTTCAACCTTTCCTCACTCCCTTTCAAGCTCCTCTTTAAGTTTCCCCCAAAAGAACGAAGCTACAATAGCTGCCAAAGACACTTACCAAGTGTCCTGTCAAAGCTTAAATAGAAGATCTCAAAATAAGCTCATTATTGAAACTTGCCGACTTTATCGTCCAGGCCGATAGGAATATCATCTTGGCTGATCAGTACAAATTAAGCTCAATCAGCCCAAGATGATTTGGGATGATCAAAAGAAAATTGGTTACATCGTCCAGATCGATGCAATATCGTCCTGGCCGATTAGTTTAAAACCAATTATAATCATCTTGATCATCGCCCTGAATTAAATCTAGTCGATGTCAATCATCCACGACATCGTCCCGGTCGATCCTGCAATCATCCCAGATGATGTGATCGAATTAAGCAGCCTTTAATGCTTTCTAAAGATACCAGATTAATTTAGGCATAATTGAGTTAGATCGTCCTGGACGATGTGGATATCATCCTGGCAAATTTCCTAAAGTAAAGAATACCTAAATTGATCATGGCGGCTGATTCTTTCTTAATTGAGCCTATCATCCTGACCGATACAAGTATCGTCTAGGCCGATCGGCTTAAGGACGGCTGCCTTAATGAGGATGCCTTAATCAGGGTTCCTGCTTTTGAACCGATTATCCAGGCCGATATAAATATCATCCCGGATGATGTTACCAAAAATAGTAAACTCTAGGGAATAGTTAGAAAATCTTCCAAGGTGCTTGTGTGCAAAGTTACATAGTTTCAGGAGCCACACCAATTACAAAAGACTCAAGTAAGGAAAAAAGGTACAAACTGACTCAGACCTAGTCCACCCAATCTTGAGTTGATTCCAAATTGTAGTCTTGATCTTGTGAACTTGAAATATCAAAAGATAAAGCAGTCGTAGAGAAATAAGAGTGTTTGCTATCATCAAAATCATAAATCATGAAAACAGATCCGCAACAGCATTGGTTGCCCTTCTTCTAGAATTCATGTTAAGAAATTATGTTGTGTGCACAATGTTTCTATTCTTGTTCTACTTGAGCCTCTTATTTCCTCTTCTAGGTTGTTAAGCACCTCTCGGTTTTTGGGTTTCAAAGATGTTATTTTGAATGTGGCTAATAAAATTTGGGTCTTTTGGAATTCAGTTAAAATTGATGTGATTAGTGATTTTACTCAAGTCTTGCATTATAAAGTTGAGGCACTTAATTTTCATAGTTGTGCCTCTTTTGTGTATAATGCCTCTTCCCTCTATAGTAGAAAACTGCTTTGGGATCAACTTATTAATTTTCATAGTATTTATAATTTGCCTTAGTTTGTTGGTGGTGATTTTAGTGCCATCACTAATCCCTCTAAAAGGATTGGTGGTTCTACTCCTTATCTCTCTATGGAATATTTTAATAATATCATTCTGGTTTGCAATTTGATTGATATTAGTTTTGTTGGTAATAAGTTTACTTAGAATAGGGGCCACTTATGGCAAAGACTTGCCGTGTGCTCTTTAATGACTCTTAGCTTAATTCCATTGACTCTACCAATGTGCAGCATCTTAGTAGAACTTTGTATGGTCATTCACCTCTGCTTATTACCATTAATTTTAGACATTTAAATGCTCCTTCTCAATTCAGATTCCAAAATATGTGGTTACTTCATGATTCCTTTTTTGATGTTGTTCAAAATAATTGGCAAGCTCCTATACACTTGGATAATTCTTGTTTTGGCATGAGGAGACTTTGGCTTAAGCTTAAAAGGTTGAAACAAGTTCTTAATTGGTGGAATCATCATGATTTCAAAAATATTTTTTCAAACATTTTACATGCTGAACAATTTATGAATTCTACTGAGCTTTTGTATCAAAATGACCCTACTGATGCTAATTTCTATAAACTTTTACACCTTCAAATTTTCTTCTTCATCCATTATATACCTAATAATAGCCGGACAATCCGTTCTAGTATCTAATTTTCAATGTTTCATTTGATAATTCAAACCAAGACCTTTCTTGATACCAAATTTCGAATAGACAAAATTCTTGCATATTATATTTCATTTAATGCTAATTTCTATAAACTTTTTTCATGATCCCAGTAAAACTTTGGAGGAGTTTTAAATTTGCCGATAAGTTTAAATCTACACCTTGTCCAACCAATTTCACTTATGTTTCATTCAACCTTGCAATCTTCGCACTTTCTTGTAAACATTTCATGATTGGCTGCAATCTTCTTATCTTTAATTTGTAAGCCTCCGCATCTTGTGAGCATGTCATCATATTAGATAAGTCAACGTCCTTCAAATCCGTCTCCATATTTTTTATCTATTCTTTATTTTTTTTTTTTAGCATGTTGAAAAGTTTTATTCCCTCAAAATCCTAAAATTTGAAGACGAAGCACGTGTTTAAAAAAAATGAGCACCAATTAAATTAGCTGGGCCGAGTTGTCAGAACACGCGTTAATAAAAAAATTTGTATGACTACATTAAAAAAAATACATATCAAAGTTTGATTGAATTTTGGATGAAAAGTTATCTTTTTTTAAGAATGCAAATTGCAATTAAACCAAAGAACCTAATACAAACAACTAAAGAAAAGAAATACCAACATAGACTTCTTTAACAATCCTACAAATGAAGGAGAAATATATTTACTACCTAAATCATCCCAACAAAAGTTATTAGCAAGAGAAAAGTTAGCACACCAATCAACTAACTTATTATAATCCCTAGAAGAAAAATTAAAAATAATATTATTGAAATTATACAAAAAGGAGAGCTCCTCCAACCAACCACATCTTTTAAGAACATCCCTCTTCCTTATTTATTCTTGAAGAAATATGATCACATTAACGTTATCACCTTCAATGAAGATTCCTTTAAATTGAAACACCCAATCTTGCATAACTGGCCCAAAGAGTTAATTATAAAAAATTATAATTGAGCAACATCCCAACGAATACAATTATATATGAAGGCTAACAATAGTCTCCCTTTATGATCACCGAAAATTCCACCAATGTAGCTTGATTCGAACTCAATAATGAAGCATTAACATTAACTTTTATCTAATCGTGAGGAGGAGGGTATCAATGCTTATACTACATCTGAGAAGACTGATTAACACCCCAATGACCCGATTAAGAATTACACAGAAACAAAGAAGCAATACTAAAAGAATTAGTTGTTATAACAAGAACACTATCTTCAAATCCTCCATGAACTACTTTATTTCTTGATTTCAATGATAAATAAACCGCTGCGTAGTACACATTAGATAATAAAGCATCTTTATATGAAATATCATCCAAACCCCTACAATGCTCCTCAATAGATGAATGTATATGAATATGAAATCCCCATTTATTTAAGCAAATCACCTAAGTAAGATTTAAACATTTCACCACCACATGCTCAGAATCCTCGACAACACATCAACCTCTCAGGTAAAAGTTATCATTACTTAACCTTTTATACATAAGAAATTAAAAAGTAGGAATTACATCATTGAATATCCTCCACCAGAATGTCTCAACATGAGGATTTAGCTCTAGTTTTTTAATCCATTTCAAATAAACCTTCTTTGTATGCTCCTGAATTGAAGCCTCCCAAGCCAATGCAAATAATGATTTCCCAGAATGCTGGTAAATAAGCTCCAACTCATCGCACTCAAATTCAAGGTCAATCTTTATTTGACGAATCAAAAACTGCAGTTGATCTCTGAAGAACTTAGGCAACTTAGCATCATTCCACTCTCTATTCAAATTTACTTTATCTAATGTGACCTCACTGTCTTCATAACTGTCAATAAAAGTAGGCCATTCGTTTAACCTCTTGTCCAACAACCAAATATCTTTGAATATTTTAATAGACTCTCCTCTAGTAACTCTCTATATAATAATAGGAGCCAATGATTTAGCACCATCGAAAATGAGTATCCAAGAAGATGAATATCCCTTCTTCCGTTCACCATGACAACTAACAGACTGATATTTAGCATTAAAAATTATGTTAATATTTAGCATATAAATGAAAAGTTACCTTCGGACTAAAAAAAAATTCTTTAACAAAAAAAAAAAATAATTTCTCAAGTAAACCAACAAAGCCCTGCATTGGGTACCCATACCCACACCCACCCATATACCCACTCATGGCCTTGTAGGTGTGTATGGGTGGATACTCAACATCGGGGGATAAATTGATTTACATTGCTAATCACCATATATCTTATATTATTGCAATCATAACTAAGTAGTGTGCAACACTTAACCACTCTACGACTATGATAAATTCTGATATGCGACTTGAAAGTTTGCAATAAGAGCAAAGAACAACAAGCCTCAAGGCCATCAGTCCGTGACATACTGCATTCAAAAAGCATAAAAAATGCATGGGTATAGGTGGGTTAGGAATCTCGAAAATCACCATGGGTGGGCGCCTGTCTGAGTAAAGCATGGTATCCAACCAGGACTCATGTAGAACTTTGTAAAACAATAAATGGAAATCCGAGAGATCACACGATCAAGGCCGTCCAATCTTAATCCCGCGCACGATTGTCTCCGTCAATCCTCGCGGCGTTCCTATCCGTTGCGCCTCCCAATCCTTCGTGTTTTTGCTACTAAATTACTCTTTTCTTTTTAAAACCTTTTTTCCCCTTATTTATTGCAAGCGACTGCTTCAAGTTTCTCTCTCCTTTTCTCCATCCTCGCTGCCAAGCTTCTTCCTGCAGGAGAGCTTTCAGGAAAAATCTCGGTGCACGCTGCTCTCTTTTCTTTCTTGCCCTTTCTTTCCCTTTCTTCAGTCTATATTTTGTTATATGTTCTTTTGTTGTTTTTCTATGTCTTAATAGTTTGTTTCGATATTTGTTTGTATAGTTACTTCTTCGCCGATGGCTTCAAAGCGGATCTTGAAGGAGCTGAAGGATCTGCAGAAGGATCCTCCGACGTCGTGTAGTGCAGGTCTTTTGGAAAGGAAGCTTTATTATAATAGATCTGTTGTTGTTTGATTTTAGGTGATATCGTATGAATTCTCTCTTGTTTGTTTAGGTCTAATTACGGGTTAGCGCTAGCTTGTCTTCTGAGATATGAATCTCTTGGTCCTTGATTAAACTTTTTTGTCAAAGTTTCTTTTTGTCTTTTAACAAATGGATTTTTGGCTTTTGACATCATTCTGTTGAATTTGAGCAGCTTTTTGGACGCTGTTTGGACTGCATAGGTTTGTGATACGATCAATTTTTAGTTTTCTTTGTGGGTCGGTTTTATCAGTATGTGCATGGCTGCTATGTGCAGGAGCGATTGTATTGGCAACTTTCTGTCGCGTTATGTCCTTTGGAGGTAGGTTTACACTAATTTAGCAAGGAGTCAACTCATTGTCAGGGCCTTCTTGTTTCGATAACGTTTGAATTTCTTTTTTCAGGCGAGGTGATTTTATATACACCTGTTTCTGCTAGGTAGTCTGGAGATTATCTTTAGGGATGCTAAGAACCCTTCTGCTGAATATTAGTCAATTTTATTCTTTTGGTATTACAAATATCTTGGACTGTCATATCAATTTGTATTCAACGCATAGCTGTAGTGTCTAAGTCATTAGGTATGTTTTGAACTTATAGCTCTTAGTGTGTAGAATTACACATTGTGCGTGATGCGCAGGCTTATTTCTCTGCACTAAGTGTTGGGTTAGAGGTGAAGGGGGTAGGGAAAAGGGGTACTGAAATTGGGCTAGGTACACAAGTGGATAAACTCATTTTCAACCCAAGCTTATTAGTGTGGGGTAACCACTTGATAGCCTGATGCCAATATGTTTTCAACTATCTGATGTTGGGACTAAATACAGGAAATATTTAAAATATAGGAAAAATGAGTAAACAAAATATTAAGAAAAATTGAGAAATAATAAATCATTTAATTTGGATTTGTCCTTAAAATAATTAATATTAGGAAGTTGAGATTTGGACGTCGATGTCGTATTTCAAGCGACTAGAGGGTAGACAACAATGCTATCAAGAGTCGGCCATCAAATATGGATGTCGAGACAATGTCGGTTGTCTATATTGATATGACGTTGGTCAAAGATGAGATGTCAAGATGATGCGTGGGCATTATTTTGGGTGTAGAAATTACTGGTGTCATTTATTTTTAGATGGTTTTGAAACATTGATGTTGTGATGGTGCAGATATCGATGTTGCGATGACATCTGACGTTATGAAACCCTAGTTGCGATCTGCAGATAGAAATGAAAATTGTATGTTCGGAAAATGGGGTATTGAGTGCGGGTAATTGATTTGGGACTATTGAGAGGAAATAAAATTTTATTTTTTATTTTTTAAAGAAATAAAAATTGAAATATAAGTAATTATATTAAAAAATTTCATAAAATATTTAAGACAGACGTGTCGGATATGGTAACCCAATTTATTTTCAATATTTTTTAATTGGACAGGCCTTCAGTGTGTTCGATACGTATTGTAGGCGTGTCAAATGTGTGTCATGTTCGATACGTGTTGAACATTGCATACCTCAATGATGAGAAGTGTCGGTGCATTATAGTTTGCGCCTATTGGCACGGGTCCTCCCTTGGGAGGGGGCTTATTAAGATGCGTCAAATTGATTTTTGTTTTAACTATATATTTTTTCTTTTTCTTTTTTCAACTTTATTTGAGTTTTATTATTCTTTTTCTCTAAAAATTTTCTTTTCTCAAGGGATTTTTACTATCTCATTTATTTTATTTTTCTTCTTTTTAAGGATTTTTTGGGAAATTTACAAAATTTGTAACTTTCGCTTCTACCCCTTTTTGTTTAATTACCACCTCATTGGGGATAAATTTGCTCCTCTCCTTGTACTTCTCAATTCTTTTTCTTAACAAAGGCTTTTCATTGTCTTATATATTAGATGTATAATTCTCCCTTCATAGGTTTAACTAAAATAATATCCTAGTAGGTGGTATGTATCCCTTTTACATGCTTTAGTGTTTCTCCACTAAGAATAATGAATTAATCTTCGGAGTTGGGGTAAAATTCAAATTTCTTAATTTCTTTATAGGTTTTGATTGCACTCTTTAAGTGAATTTGTGTGTGATACTCAGGATTTTTAATCTCTATGGCCGAGCTCCGCTTTGTCTTGTAGAAAAGATGATTGTTTTTATTTGAGGAGATTATGCTATGAAATATTTTTTACCACATTTTGAAGCTCTAGTTTTCTCTGTAATGGGGAGGTAATTATTATTAAAACTTGATGCAACGGTGATGATGCAAAGATGATGTTGAAGAAAGTACTCTAATTAATATTGTTTGATTAGTAGCTTGATATTTATATTTGGTGTTAGTATTGCTGATGTCAACCTCTAGCATTGACATTGAAGCCAGTGGAATTATTTACGATGAGTTGAGGATGAGATAAAATTTGCACCATTGCATTAAAGTTCAAGAGGGAGAGAGCGTTCATTGAAAGTTGATGTAGAAGATTGTGTTATCATTATGTAAATCTGAATTTTGTATGTAGCTTAGAAAGATATATTTTAAGCGTGTTAATCTGTTGGAAGTAATAAATTCTTAATATTTGTGTAAGAGTAATACAAATTTGTTTGAATTTGTTCCCTAGAAGAGTTTAAGTTTTTATATATTTTCTAGATATATTTGAAAATTTTAAGTCTTGCTAGAAGATATTGCCCCCAGCTAAAACATAAAACCTAATTTTTTTTATTGATAAGGACTTTTTGATGCACCTTTTGATTTTTTTCTTAAGAACATAGATCTTCCGAGAATTTGACTTTTAACAGGAAACAATGGAGAAAAAAGATTCATGTAGCCGACTCCACGTAGTGGGACAAAGGCTTGATGTTTTTGTTGTTGTATATCTTCTGAGGATTTAGCCTTACAAGATTTTTTTTTTTTTTCAGATAAGGAGAAACCTATATCTTTTGAGGCTTTTAGCCTTTTAAGAGTTTTGGGAGAATACAAATTTGTATCTTTTGAAGTTTTTAGCATTCTAAGACTTTTGGAAAGTTGGAGAAACCTATATCTTTTGAATTTTTTAGCCTTCTGAGATTCCTAGAGGACCAAAGAAATTTGTACGCTCTGAGGATTTTAGTTTTTTAGGTTTATTTTACTTTTTAAGATTTCTGATATATGTTGATATTATGAGGTTGGCATCCTTTTTATGATTTTTGAAGAAAGGGATAAATATGTATCTTTTGAAGGTTTTAGCCTCATGAGATCTTTAGAGAACAGCAAAAAACATATACCTTATGAAGTGCTCAAAATTTTGGATCTTTATTAGAATGTTGGCCTTGTATATGTTTATATGGTGAATTACTTAGGCTACATTTATTGATAACGGCACCTCTAATTTCCAAGGTGCTCCTGCTTTTTTTTTTCATTGAGGTTAATGAACTTTTTTTATTATGAATTCTAATGTTTGTTTTAGGATTTTTAAATTGCTTTTGATAAGTGTTGATGACCTTTTCGGTAATTGTTTGTACTTCTACTCTATAAATAAGATTAGTGTAAGAGCAGGTTGTCTCTTGCATCAAGGAGTAGAAACATCCAGGGAGAAGATCTCCAGGAAATACACCTTGCATTAACTTCGGATTCACTTCTGAAATTTGGCTTTCTTCAGCAAAGATCATTTGAAAAATATTTCTTATAAGTTTCTTTCTCATTTTAGTAAATCCCAAAAAGATGGGAGTCCTCAAGTCTTTGGTTTACGATGAACTATTCGACACATACTTGTCAATGGTGCAAAACTGGCGCGCACCATGGCGCGGCGTGTCGCACCTACGACGCTAGCTACATGGCGTGGCGCACATGTTCAAGTTGGCACGCGCCATTTGTTTCATGTGTGCGTAATGGCCACATGACGCAATGGCGTATGACTCGTGCAATATGATTTTTTTAATATAATTATAAATAATCTAAAATATTTATATATTTTAATTTCTAAAATAATGTAATAATTAATTGTAAAATTATTTGATATGATTAAAATAGTTTAGTTAGGTTTTATTAAATTTTATTTTAGTTGAAATTTTGGATAAACTTGATGCTCACTTTAATGATTTGGACTTTGGACTATAAATATATTCAACCAAGCCTTACCCAACTTGATTGATACATTAAAATAGGATCCATATAATGATTTTTATAATTATTTTTTATTTTTTGCTATGTTCAAAATGGTGTTTAAGGGCTTGAATACAGTGACAAGTGTGCAAGGGCCGCTGCACCGGCGCCTGGGTGCAGTGTTAAATAGGTAAGGGTTCCCACATCAAGGAAGGATGTGGGCAAAGAAGCTAGTCTTTGAAACTAAAATTAGGATAGGAACTTGGAATATAGGTTCCCTTATAGGAAAATTAATAGATTTAATAGATATTATGATTCATAGGAAGTTAAATATTTTGTGCATTCAGGAAACTAAGTGGGTTGGAGAGAAGGCTAAGGAAATTGATAGTTTAGGATTTAAACTTTGGTATTCGGATAGGAGTCGTACTAGAAATGGTGTAGGTGTTATTATAGATAAGAGTTTAAAGGATAATGTTATAAAAATTAATAATATTAGAGATATAATTATAGCTTTAAAGATTGTTGTTGAGGATAAGATTGTTAATATTATAAATGCTTATGCTCCTCAAGTAGGTTTGCATATGAGTTCGAAATTAAATTTTTGGAATGACTTAAAGATACTGGTACGAGTAGAGGTATTAGATTTGACTTGTGTTAAGAAAAGTAGGGGTAGACCTAAAAAGACTTGGTTAGAAAATATTAGGAATGACCTTTCTTTATTAGATTTAAACGAGAATTTGACTTTTAATAGGACACAATGGAGAAAAAGTATTCATGTAGCTGACCCCACGTAGTGGGATAAAGGCTTGATGTTGTTGTTGTTGTTGTTGTTTCAAAATGATGTTCACCGCACCGTTCGCTATGCGCCATGGCTCCATGGGGCACGCCATTCGCCGTTGAC